GCAAGACGGTCCCTTCTATGGCTAAAAAGCCACAAACCCATCCTCCCCTTTTCTCAGCCTTCCCTCTGTAGGGCTGTGTGCTGTGCCCAAATATAAACACAATGCAACTATCTCCAGTGATCAGTGCCTTATTCCTATATAGTGGTAGAAGTAGCAAAGACTTATAAAGAGTTAGAGATTAGAGGTGGAGTAGTAACATATTTTACGAGGTCCATGAGCACAGTGAAGGTAAAAATAAGGGTTGAAGAAGATTAATTTGTCCACCACCTTCAACATACTACTCTTCTAGTATGCTTAATGTACAAACATACAATTACCATAATCATCTATTCCCCCTTTAGAACCAAAAGAATCAAAATGTCTATGCACATAATGCTTTTTAAACGAATTATGTATGCGAAAAACATCCAGATAACTGTGCGTAATCAAAGGAAAGAGCACGAAGGTTAGTCACGCCAATGATCCCTACACTTTTATCTAGTTTATTCATTTATTTTTTATCTTAATTATGCAATTTTCTATTTTTTACCCTTAATTAAGGTCTCTGTATTCATGTAAGCGCCAAGGCAAAGTTGTCTTTTATTATTCTTTAAGGCTTATATATTAGAGTCCTTTCTGCTCTTGTAATTAGCACTGTGATTGGATTATTGAATATAAAAAAATTTTCTACACTCTGTATCTTTGGAAACAACTTTACTGACAAATCACACTATGTGAGAAACGTATTATACCCACCAGCCACAGCATGTGTCCGGCTCATGGTTTGGCAAGTTCCCTAAGTAGAGCGCAGCATTAGTCCCAGTTCAGCCCAGGAGTACCACAGATGTGTCCGAGGGCTCCATGATTTCTATCTTTATTTTCCTACACTATTCTTTCTCCTCTAATATCCCCTTTTTCTTTACCTCTAGCTGACCGCATCTCACCCCCTACCCCCCAGCCGATTCTCTTTTCCCCCTTGCACTGCCGGCCAAACACCCTTCCATACGACCGCGGCACAGCCACCCTCTTTTCCCCTCTAAATCCACCCTTCGGACACTGCACGACACACCACCTTCCTTACCGACAACCCCCATCCCCACCATTTAAGCGCTATTCCCCTTCCCTACAACTCCCCTCCCGCTCAAATCCTCCGCAAATCCACACAACTCCTCCCTTTCTTTGGTCCACAAATCCATCTTGCATTTAAAGCCTTTTAATTTGAACCCTTTTCTTATTTTGAAATAATTTAATTTCACATATTCAAATAATTTGATTTGAAAATTTTGAATTTGTTTCCTAAAATGAGAATCCCTATTTTAGGTAAGTTCCTAAATTCATGCCCATTTAAATTTTAAATAAGGTTGGAATTAAATCAATCCTTCCTAATTTAAAATTCTAATTCAAGCAAGCATTAATTTCCCTCTCTTAAACCCCTCCCCCCTTGAAGTCGTCGGCCTGTTCTCATCCACAAGTTTGAATTTCAAATTCAAATAGTCTCTTGGTTACTTTCCTAAATTAGTCAATTGTTAATTTGGAAAGCTTCTTAAATTGAATTCAAATAGATTTGAATTTCAAAAATCTTTCAAGATTAATAAATCCTTTTAGGAAGCCTTTTCTAATCCCTCCAAATCTGCAATTAATTTCAAATTTAATTACCCCATGACATTTAATGCTATGGGCCACATATGTTGAATGTGGACAAGTCCTCCCTTCCCCTCTCTCTTGGCAGGTCCCCTTTCTCTTCTCTCTCTTAATTAATTCCCCCCAATTAATCCCCCAATTACAGCAGTCATTTAACCCACATCAATCCAAATTGATTCTTACTTTAATTTCTCTAGCCACCTAAGCATCAATTTACTCTGGATTTCTTTCCTAAATTGCTGGAATTAATTCCAGAATTTATGAAATTGCTGCCCTTTCCTTAATCTATCCCCAAATCTGAAATTAATTTCAAATTTCTAGCTCCATTCTACATCAATTATACTTTTCCAATTAGTCCATACGCCTATATTCTATGTGTATAAAATCATGTTACACTAAATGTGTCATGCAGGCTACTACTAAAAGAAAGAAATGAACTCCAAAGATCTTATTCAAACGTAAATAAGATTTTCTGTGTTCAACACAATATGTCTAGGTTCTAATACACCTAATGACAGATAATTTCAAAGAAGCACAAGAGAAAAAAAACATAGCATTTGCCGCATCAACCCTTCATAGGTCTAAATGCAACATACTTAAAAAGAAACAAAAAAATCTCAAAATAGTCACCAGACTATTCGTGTACGGCCAATTTAATCACAGAGTATCACGTTATTTCAATTTAGTCCCCTGACTATACAAAATTGATCTAAAATAATCCCTCGTATTATAATTGTGACATAAAATTGATCCCAATTTACTCCCAAAGGATCATTTTGGATAATTTTGTATAGCCAAGGGACTAAATTAGAGCAACGTCATAGTCTGGAACTAAAATGACAACAAATGAATAGTCGGATAAATATTTTGAGATTTAACCCTAAAAAAATATATATTATGTAATTTTATTGCATTGGAAAAGACTAAACTATGAATTTCACTAATTCTACTGATTTTTATAGGAAAGGATTGGTACCCGTAACTTGGTTGTTGAATAGATATTGAACGTTTACATTTGTTCTTGGAAACTCAGGGTACTTTTAAACGGACAGACTAAACTTTCTTTTTAAACATCAATAACTTGGGCCTTAGGAGGTCGCTTAACATATTTCATAAAAAGAAAGAGGAAGAAGTCCTTCAAAACTTGCAAAACCCATCGCTATAGATATTAGTTTCTAGTTATTCCCCACATGAAAGAACTAGATTCAGCCCCTCCTCTATTCATATTCACTCAAGCAATCTGATACCTTCCTTTCAAAATCAGCAAATAGATTACAATTAATGTGATGCACTCTCCAATATGAGAGAGAGCAGACTTAGATACTATAATTGGAGAAAGCAGAAGACTCAGCTATGGCTATTGGGCCTGCAGCTTCAAATCCATCATGCTTCTTTTGTTAATGAGAAAGAAGCCAAGAGTGACAAAATACAATTTTAGGATGAAATTGGTAGCACAAGTAGTTTTAGATGATAAAGCAGATAAAAATCTCCGTGACACCTTTAACTTAGCTTCATTATTCATCATTTCATCTTTTAGTGAAAAGTTCCATATCGCACCACACAGAATGCTCGGTTAATTCCAGTTAAAAGAGTGCATGGAGTTAACTAGTTAGCAATAACTGAAGGCATGTAACAAAAATTTTGGTCGAGTGGAAACATTGACTGAATGGGATGGAATTTCAGTAGTAAGTAAAACGTATTAAAGAAAACAGTTTCTTTGGAAGGAAATTATAAGAACAATAAGATCATGAAGGTATCCCTGCCTATATTAGCTCATTACTATGGAGAGATTGAACTAAGATTCAGAAAGCAAGAATCAACAAAAGCAAAACAAAAACAATACTGAGTGAAGCGCATGTGAGCTTATTCAATCATAATTAGCAAGCTAATCTAGAATTGATGACATGAAAAAGATATTTAACTTATTACCACATAGAAAAAGCCAGCCACTCTACAGGCCTCATCTAACTCCCTTACAACCTTAAGTACTCCTTGGTCTTCAGCCATCATAGGCCTATCACACTTATCCAAAAGAGGGCTAACATCTGGATAAAAGAAATTCAAAAGAGATACAAAAAGATGGAAAATTATAGAATATATATGAAAAGGTTAAACCGGTAAGAGTACAGAATAAATAAGGAGAAAAAAAGAATGAAAAAAAAACATATACCCACACAATTTGTCAAATTTCAAAGTAAATCGAGGGAATGCATAAAATCATAAGAAAATACTTGATATGGGAACAACCGCATGAAAAATAACATATGTATTGATGATTATGTATTCCAATTAGTGGTATTGAAGATCATGTAGACTTTGGTGTTTGAAGAGAAAGCACATTGCAAGATGATTTTAATAATGGCGAGCTGCCTGACAAAATTGAAATCAAGATACTACATAAAAAACAAGGACATCACAAATTGTAATAATCTTCACATCTAAAATAAATGTTTCTTTTAAATGTACAAAAGGAGCTCGCATCTAGCATAAAAATCTTAAGTCTGCAGTAATTGCGATGATACTACCATGGAAAGAAATTAACAAGGGAAGATAACCAAAAGACAAAAAAGAAGCAGCAGATACCATTTATGTATAGTCAAGATTTTGAATCAACGAACTTGAGACAAGTAGACTATCCTTTTTAGTCATTCCTCTACAGCATAGAGATTGAGAAAAGCACAAAAAAAGTATGTTAAACAAAATTCTAAACAGAAGAAATCATATTCAATGTGAGGTGTTTAGTCCTTAGATCATTTTCCTAGTTCTTTGCAAGGTTGCCAAGCCAAAAAACACAACCATAAGCAACTTTTGCATGTTTTTGGTCTTAAAATAAAAATTAAAACCAAACTTTTATGTCTAATTTAAGAATTTTCAAGCTTTGCCATAGCACTTTGCTTAGAGTCAGGACAAAAGTTGGATATAATTGAGTGTATTAGATCAAGCTAAAACCAGCCATTGAATCTTTGAAATTCGCATGTTTTCCACATGAAAATTCTCAAAGTACCATAAGAACTAATTTTCCTTCTTTTTTAGCATGTTTTTAATTTTCATGTAAATTTTCATCGGACCAAAATGGTTCATTGACTCTTATGAAAGACCAAAATAATCCTCAACTATATTAAAGGACTATTTTAATCCCTCAACTCTTTTAAAGGAACCAAAATAGTCCCACAATGAGATTATTTTGATTCTTTTTAAGGATTTGAGGGATCAAAATGACCTTTTAATATAGTTGGGGACTATGTTGCACCGATACACCTTTTTATGAAAGCGTGCTGTATCCGATACACAGATACATGGATACGCCTCCGATATGGCACCAATATGTGTCGGATAAGACAAAGCCGTATACGACAAAGCCTTATACAATTAAAATACAATTTAATTTCAAAAGGACACGCATATCAGATAACGCGTGTCCATTGAAAAAAAAACGGAAAAAAAGACGCGTCTTTTTACTTCCGTGGCTTCGAGCAAGGTTCTCTCATTTCCGAGATGGATTTGAGTCTCTTGATAATACGGTTATATTAGAAATTGCTAATCTTTCACTTTATGAGCCTGAATTAGAAGCTATGATATTTATTGAAGATGATATAGAAGTTCAAAGACAAACCACTGAAGAAGCTAATCATATCATTCCTTCTATTGAATAGTTGAAACTTCATGTGCTAGATAATTTATGTATATGCTTTTGTTGTTGTACTAGACATTTAATGCTTACTTTATTTTGATATTATAAGCTACAAGGATACAAAATGATGTTACTTTCATTTTTTTTCTGTAATTTCAAATATTATGTTTTGATTGCTTTCTTAATTTTTATATATGATTTATAAATTATAATGTCGTGTCCGCGCTGTACCCGTATCCTGCATTTTTAAGAATTGGCGTATCTCGTATCTGTATCGTGTTGTATCCGTGTCACCATATCCATATCGGTGCAACATAGGTTGGGGACAATTCTAGTTTTTAATGAGGTAAGGGATCATTTTGATCATTTCTCCATTTTTTTAATAAGATATTATAAAAGCCCTCAATCAAGAAGTTTCACCTACCTTCAACTTTTCTTAAATCAAAATTTATTGTTCATGTTATACTTTAGTTCAGGTGGATAGGTTGTCAAATCCACTGATCATATAGTTGATCTTGAACTGTCCGCTAACCTAAATCCACCAGTCTTTTGTTTTTGTCAAGGCTGATTCTTCTGTCAAAGTCCTCAACCTAACACTTTCCACTTCTAGTTCAGTTTATACAGGTTTGGTCCTACCATAATCCATAATAGAGAATTTTCTACCACTCAAATTAGTTGGCAAGGAACTTTTGATAGTTCAATTACATCAAAGAGAATCTAAAGAACCTATTTTTCAGTTTTCTTAACAACTTACATAAAGAATTCTTGCCCAATAACAACCAGCTTTTTTAAGTTCAAGTGATTCTCTCAAGAGGATGGAGGATCACATGAATCAAACAAAACTTTTATTCAAACTGTCTCATTAATGAGTAAAAATATTTTGAGCCCTCCAAGCAATCATCTGCATTGGCATTTGAGAATGCCACCATATCTCTGATGCTCAAGTAATCAGTCAATGAAAATTCATTTTTATAATTTTATTTTGGCGTGACAATATTTCTCAATATTGTATACTACTGTCGAGTTTTGTTCCTTGCTAGAGCAATGTAAGAACCCTACCACACTAATTATGAATTGTTAGGATTATTTTGAAGCCCTAAAAGAATATTATGAGATTTGGAGCTAATCTCATGAAACGAAACTTGTGTAGGTTGATCTTGAGCTCAAAGGATTATTGATATAATGTTTGTTTCTAAACCTATGAAAACAATCAATATCAAGTTTAAACATAAGCATGGGAAAAAAAAATTTCTCGAGGAAATTAAAGTTTAGCGTAAGAGCCTATCATAAGCTCAAAAAAGAATACTAGATTTACTGCATGACCTTCCAGTGGGATTTGGAAGGCTTACACAGACAGAGATTTTCCTTCCATTCTTTAAGAGTTTTGGAAGAGCATCATAGTATTTTAGGGATAGATCACGTTTTGTTTCTCTAAATGATTGTTAGGGTTTATTGATTTGGAGGATTGATATTTCTCATGAATGCAAGCCCTCCTAGTTGATTGCATCTCCACCTAAAAGTAGAGAACACTCTTATCTCTACCACAATTAGATTAAATTGGAAAGGGTGGAGAGCGGTCAAACTGATTAAGATTCTGATAGAAAACAGCCATGGAACACAAGAAAAACTGCTGAATTTCAGAGAAATTCAGCAATAAAGGTGCAGTTTTCACAATAATCTATAGGAAAATAGGGAAACACACTTAAAATTCAAATAGAGAAGGAATATACAACATGATACAAGGAATCTTCAATTCGAGAGGAAGATTCAGCTCTCCAAATCTCTAACCGAAGCTTAGAGTTCAAGAACAAACCCTAGAACTCAAATTCAGATTTCATAAATTCAAGATAATCCCAAAAGCTAACAAGAGAGACTAATTAAAGCAAAAGGAATAGTACAAAATCTCTAAACAGCCCCTAATTCAAAAAAATTTCCTCCCAAACAAAGCTTAATTAAGCCTTGGGCCCCACCAAAGCTCCCCCCCCCCCCCCCCCCCTCCTCCTCTCCTCTCCCGCTATCCGCCCCCATATGGGCCGACAGGTGTATACCAGAACTGGTTCAGGTCTAACATTACACCCCTCTGACACAATCGACTCAGGAATCCCAAGCAGTCTAACCACCTCGCTGATGACTGTTGCCATCACTGACACTGGGGTATAGGAATGTCGTAAAAGGATTAAATGTGCATACTTACTAAGTCTGTCAACCACCACTATGATGACTGTGTACCACTCCGATCGTGATAGGCCATCGATGAAATCCAAGGACACTTCCTCCCATACTCTGTTTGGAAGTGTCAAGTGTTGGAGTAGTCCTCCTGGAGTCATTGTCATGTACTTGTTTCTTTGGCACACTTCATACTTTGCCACCATCTCCTCAACATCTTTATGCATCCCTTTCAAGTAAAGCTCAATTATCAACCTCTTATATGTCTTATGTACCCCAGAATGACCTCCAACTGCACTGTTATGGAACTCCTGCAGCAATTGAGGGATATATGTATGGAAGTTCGTGGCATTACAAACCTCCCTTGATGCAACAGCCTCTCCCCCTCAAGATAGTATCATGGATGGCTATTCTTATCTTTCATCAAGTCCTCCCTAATCTTTCAATCAGATACGTAGAGAATGTGTTATCTGGCATATAATAGCAGCAATGGGTTTGGATTGGAATGATTGGATATTTGGGAATTTGGGGAGATTGAAAGATTTGAAGATTTGATATTTAAAATTTGAAATTGCACCATCTTGCACTTAAAGAAGATGGTGGGGGAATGGATGATGGACCCGATCAAGATCCCATGGTTCCGTCATCCCGGGCCATCGTGGTCCCTGGTCTACTTAGTCAGAGGAGGTAGTCGACCCAACCTGATAGAAGGATCATTGTCGGCAGCCATGGGTTGCTTCGTACAAGGGTACCTTGTAGACCTGGGGTGAATGTTTGTCTAAGGGGACAAATTTAAATCCACCTTAGCTAACAGAGGGCTTTGTGCCCTATCGATCATATCTTATTGATTCATATCTCAATGATTTGATGCCACTAAGGAACGTATTAGATCTGGCCATAACTGTTATTTGTGGTGTCATTTGGCAGCAAAACCACTCGGTTCAGAGGGCCCTAGGTCATAACCGTTTATCCTGCGGTGCCAATTGGCGGCAAAATCGCCGGTTAGAGGACACATACCACGTCCTTACTGGCAGGAGATTGTTTGAGAATGGACCCTAGTGATATTCACGACCAGGCATTAGCTCTTTGTGAGCTGAAGTAATTTTCAGATTTGTCCACCTCGGCAAACTGTTGCGGAGGGTGGATGGATTTTTGCTTTAAGTGTTTTAATGGTTAAATTTTATTTTTTTTTTAAATCTGAATTTTTGGATTTTCGGATTTTTTTGGATTTTTGGGATGGCATTTTGA